GCCGTGGACCAACCCCCTCCCTTAAAAAACCCTCACACCTGTGTGCGACCCCCGGAGGACGCCAGAAGACCCCTGGCTGATTTGGCCAACGTCTGTCACATTGTCGCGACTTGTCCATGGTCTTTATCAATTTGTTATGTGGCCAACATCCGCCATATGGTTTCAGATACATCACGCGCTGTCCTATGGTCAGTGCTTGTCCGAGACTTAGCAGCGTGACGTTAGACTGGTCAGAAGAACGGGTAACAAATGTAAGGATGTTAAATCAGCTCGTGAAAAGGTGTTTGTTAGTTGACACATTTTGTTTCCTTTCGCTTTGAACAACAGTTTATATTTGAGAATTGACACCGGCCACTTGAGCACCCCTTTCTAATAGACAGCGAAATACTTGAAATAACTGGACATACTACGCGAAATAACCGCAAAGCCTGACATCGTATTTCAGAGCATTTTGCATGTAACCGAGAGGTGACAGTTTTCACGGAACAGTTCCAATTGAAATTTGATCAAGTTAAAGAAATACAACCATTCACTTGCATTGGTTAGTTGAATTTCGTTCACGTTTCATGACCTAACCTCAAACGAATGTTATTTAAATAAGTCGTTAAAAAGCAAAATAAATTAAATATTTATTTGATTTAAATACTAGAAAGCGACAATAAGAATGTTTCTTGTATTCCGATTCTAAACAACTCAAGAAATATCAGTTTTCGTCTGAATGTTGTGTTATTTCAAAATAGTCCTCATAACATATTTGTTTTTGTTCAAAGGTCTGCATTTTATCAGGTGTTGAAAAAAATATAAATTTGTGAGGGCCCAGGAATATCTGAAGAAATGGGAAACTAAAACAACACGATTCCCCTACTGTTCGCCCGCCTGACGTCTGGTTAACGGAGATAACTAGCCTTGGAATGTATCCTCGGGTTATTTAACATTTAAGCATGTCAAGACAGGATATACTTGTTAAAATTCTTCAGCTATAAGTTTTCATTGTTACGTGTTGTGGGATAAGATGTGATTGTTTATAAGTGTTACTGTGGCGTATATGTTCCTGTGACATGGATCTATACGCCCGTCAAAAGCCCATGTCCGCCATTATGACCGATATCGCTGATAAAATGGCGGCAGATCGAAAAGCGGCGACTGAAATGATGGTATCAACAACTGCTATCAGTTTGGGCAGATAGACCGACTTTGGCGGAATTGTTCCCATTTGGCAAGGTCTGACAAATTGTCACATGTATGTCTGTGTATAAACACAATGTCGTAACAGCGATGAATTAACTGCCGTCAAGCAGAGGCAGACGACATTCATACGAAACTAAACGTCATTCGTTAGCGCTGCAAGAGTGATGACGCGTTAAATATGAATATAAACTGAATTTGGAAAACCTAATTCTGTTATTTTAGGTTTTTATACGATGGGAACTTTCGCGTTGGAGTCGTTTTGGCGGATTTGTTGTCGACCAATACGGGCTGGATACAGGAGCGAGAGTAATATTGTTTGGATAAGAAGATAACCCTGCATTTTTTCACCGTTCTCACTCTTTTGCATTTTAGACATTGAGGGAAAAAATATATTTCTCACGATTCGAGCTGTGACTTATCAGGCGAGAGACGTCGGAAAGCTGCGATATCCTTAACGGGGATTTAGTCGGGACATGCTTTTTGACCTTTAAACACATTTGAGGACAAATCGTGGACCACCCGCTCGTCCTTTATTGGACACGGGGATGAAGCGAAGGGGTGGGAGGTATGTTGTTGCTGACCTGGAAAACAGCTTTTGGAGTTAATTATGCTTTCAAAGTGATAAGAGATATTTTACAAACACCTCGGGAACGATTTCTTCAATAAACTGCTGGATAAAAAAGTATACATCCATGTTTGATTGTGGCGAACTATGTCACAAGCAAGAAATGGATTTTCAATGATGAAGTAGTTGATACGGCAAATCATACTTGGATGTGGATCTCACTTTTGCTGCGTTTCGACGACACTTTTCAGACTAGTAATGTTTTATAACGTTTGTAATCTTTTGGGGAAATTCAATCGTCAAATGTATACTTTCCTTTGCCCGCAGTTCAGTTAAAATATTTAAAAAATTTATCACTATTTCCAAAACTAATTATTTTTTTAAAGTTTCGGTTGGAATAAATTGTTGAGAGAGTTAAGATGTGACGGTAATACAGCGATGAGTATATATTCCCATCCATCAAAAAACAATAAATTGTAAATATTCGAAGGGAATCATCGGACATTTAACAGCATGAGCATGTCGTAGTAGAATATGTTAACCGTTCATATTTCTTTAGTTAATTCAACAATTCCCAGGTGACTGGGAATCATATGATGCCGCTCAGTGTAAAATGTATTAATTATTACCACGTGAACATAATGAATGATAAGTACAAATAAATTCTATGCGTTTAGGAAACGGCATGGTAAACTGTAATTTTCCTTAGAATCAACATGTATAAGATGAGTATAATCCACTTCTAATCCACAGGTAAATAATTACCTATGTCCTCTTATGTTGTTCGACTTCGGTGGGTAGTATTGTCATAGAATTTGATATCATAACAACGTTTGAGCGCATCTCTTTCAAAACCCGAATGTACTGTGTCTCGTTCATAAAAGACTCCGCGGGGCTACTCTTGCGCGTTAAACTTTAGTTGTTAGTTTTTAAAAAGGGTGAGTTTGATGGGCCGTGATTCCTCTGAGAGTTTGACGTACGCAAGTCGAGGGCGCAAAGCAACGATGCGTGCGAAGTGCGTCTAACTGTATCCGAAGCGTGCACCAATAGTGGCACTATGCTCTTCACACTGGGCACGATCTGCACCCCAATACACGCATGTCCTGCACGGGCAACATTAAAAGCGCGTCGCCAAAACGCAACTTTCATATCATACGCGCCAACACTGTTATCAATTATGGCAAGTCTCCGAAGATGAAAGCGCGTTGGAGTGTTGTCTCCCTGCAGGTAAAAAGGGTAACTCGGTCGAATGCCGGTGGGGACTCACACGACACACCTCTCCCCCGAACAGTCTCGAATCTCGGGGGAGAAACGCGAGGTGCCCCGATTCGCCCCACAGATCTGTGTGGTCGGAATTAAATCCTTTTCGCTGCCCTAGTTTAGGTTGATACACTATGTTATGTGACGTGGGGGACTTCTTATAGGGCGGGCGCGACAGCTAAGCCGTGTATCAAATATACTGTTTCGCAATGGGTTGCTTTATCCTGGTTACCGCAAGTGCGAGTTTAGATTCGAATAGAGAGCGTTTCCCACACAAACTGAGATTCTTCGAAATTTAGAATTTTGAAAAACGTATCCTTTCACATTTTATGAGGAAGCGTACTATGAATTTAACTTTGCATGCATAAACAATCGGGTTTTACTCATAAAACAGTTAACAGTCTCGATATTGTCTGGTTAAAGTATATGACGACATCTTTTGCTGAATACAAGTTTGTAGACTTAATAAAGCAACATAGAAATGGTTGTTTTCAATCAGCATTAAATTTAATTAAATCAAATTTCAATTTAAAACAAAACTTTTAAGCACCGCGGTTAAACAGTTACAGGAGTGGGTGAATAAGCAGATATACGTTGAAGGAAGGTTTACTGGGAGCCTTTCTGCAGTAAACAACCTGTGAAAGTGACAATAAATTTATACGGTCAATGTCTATCAAATAGCAGTAATTTAACGTAACAGTTTGTCTGTGGGAGTGACGTTTATTGCTAATCTTAATATTTACAGTCTTTCGTTGGAAGGCCCCTATGCATATGTTCGTCAGGTCTCGCTGTCAGTGCGAGTTTCGGCGAGATTCGTTTGATCTAGCGATGTGGCACCTATTAAAATGTTAGCTAATTTGAATTACTCGCAGCCGGAGGGGAGACTTCATGACATATGACATCTTTACTGATTAACCTCTCAAACGCACAACATGGGTCTACAGCCTCTTTTAACTTTCTTCGACTTTCAAACAGGATTATATGTACTTGGACAGATATTTGATTAATTAGAAAACGGAATACAGTATTTTTAGCGATTTTCTTTACCCTGTGACGTCAGTTGAATGAAGTGTCAGTTTATTGTTTAAGGGCGCATGTTAATTTCTTTTGGAATTGGAAATATAAAAAAAATAATTGCAATAATTGAACTAAATGATTAAAATGACGTCGATTTTTATTTTTGTGTATTGCATCAATACCTAATTTCTATATTAACCCCTATATAGTTATAATTACATCTTCAAGTTTAAGAAATTAAACATTCGCATTAAATATCCATACCCTACAGATGAACATCGTTGACAAGCTGAGAATCATGGCAGCCTCAGTTATTGCAGATATGAAGTTGACAGAAATCAACAAGTGGTATAAACGTTTAAACATGTGATCATGAATTTCGTCAACACTGTTGTATATTACATCCCCAGCGTAGACGAAATACGAAATGTGCATAATTCATGTTGATAAAAGTAAATGGTAAAAGTTCAAAGTTGATTGTCGGGTATTTAAACTTTACAAACATACAACACGTTTACAATGGGACAGATCCTGTGCTCAAAACCACTTATTTCCGCTTCGCTCAGAAACACATGGTTTTAAACTTTTTGTGCGGAAAATAATCTTCTGATCTAGTTTGAAAGTCAACATGGAACATCTGCAGAACATGAAGAACATTTTTTTGCGGATAAAATCCCCTGTCTACGTGATCGCTCTCCGTTGACGTAGCAGTCGACAGCCTAGTTTCGGGTCGACTGGTGTACCATGCATTAACAGCAAGGTGGTACACTTCCATATTAACAAGAAAGTGACACATTTAAATTCTAACAGCACTACAAAAGTGCTAAGCTATGAGTTAGTGATCTGCTTTAAATAGGAACTTCAGCGTGGTAAAGATTTAAGGGTGAGACAGTCTGTTAAAAACGAGATAGGATGTTTACAGGTTAGGGTATAGGAACAGAGAGGGTGTATATACAGGGTTCATTCCTACCTCCAAAGCTTTCCTAAAGTCTTGCTCAGTTCCGCGTTATGAAGATGGGGATATTGGTCTGCAAGTTTCCTCCGAGCAGCCTGGGCCCACACCATAAAAGCGTTCATAGGTCTTTTGATGTGGGGCTTTCGTTTTTCCCCTCCGTTAGCCCTTGATGGAGTGGACACTAGTGACCAGTCATAGCCCTTGAGGACCTGAGACACTGCCTCTTGGATGTGCATGGAAAACTTAGGGTCATCCGCACCAATGCCGGCAAGTCTTTCCTTCATTTCTTCTGGGGTGGGCATTCCGGGTGGGTCCCCCTCAGGATGTCCAGGTGAGGGGGAGCGCAGGTCGGGAGAGCGGCTGTTCTCTGTGTCGCTGCTCATGCTGATGGGTGGTGTAAATGTTCCAATGTCAGTGATGGTGGTTATGTCGTCTGCTGTCTTTCCAAAACTGATTGGACGTCAGACGTGAAGCCTTGTGTAGTCGCCAGGACAGTTTGCCTGATAATGAATTACGCTAGACAGTGTGGTGGATTTGATAGTGCCCAAGAACGCCCTGGGGGTGCTGTTGATGTATGTAAATGAGCCGCTCTAAGCCCCGCCTCTTCTCTTCCCCGCGAACCAACGGTGAGACCGGCCCGGCTGTAGCGGCAGTGCGCACAGGATGAAACGAATTTGTCAACTCGACTCACATTACCACTCTCCGGGGCGGAAAGAGTAGAACAATCTTAATAGCAGTTTCTGGCTTTAATCGCAGTGGCCTGCACACAATATGAAGATAATAGGAGAAAAATAAACACTGCCTGGTAGAGCCCATAGGACACGTCTTCGTGTAAACCTCTTCCTTTTGCCTGGGGTATTAAGTGCTAGTTATACTGTCAGGGTGGACGTGGTCAGACAGCGAACCTACCTCACCTATCCGTCAAAAATTAAACCCAGGTGTTGGTCATTTCGTCTAACATATGCATCATTTTCTGCAGGGGTCTGTCTAAAACTCGTTGAATGGATATAAACATTGCATAAATTCATCTTAATAAGCCTCGGAACTATTTTATTCACTTTGATATTGCATTGTATTGTATGTTTTGTACTCTGTTTAACAGATCCATTGATAAACAGTCACTATCGCTGTACGGAGCTTGTCGCAGCTCGCGACGCCTTGACACGGCCCCATTTCATTCATAAGTTGCAGGTATCACGTGATCCTCAAGGTCGGGGCTTCAGGGGGCGGGGCAGCGTACCCGATTATTGCCCGAGCTCAGCCGGGTAGGCGAACCATTCATGAGCTGTCTGTAGAAATATCTACCCGACATGTGCCGCCATTGTACAGCGTACAGTTGGTCTGGTTGTGTGGTTGAACAACAAGCAACGTGTAGGCTAGCCTGACTATACTCCAAAGTAATTTGGTCACGAAAGTAAATATAGAGATACTAAGTGTTACAGATAATATGTGAATATGTCCTACAGCATGACGCGGGCTGTCGATCGGCCTTCACTTTCAGCTCTTTTGCGGCCAAGTAAAATCATATGAATCCACTTTATCCCCATTTACAAATAGGGCTGGGCGTCCATGTCCATGTACACGGCGTGTTTAGTTCCGAAAGTCATCGCAGTTCAGTAAGCAATATAACAATAAAAAAGGAATTAAGTCAAGAAGTACTGTTAAACATCAAGACACTCACATGTAAAACCTATTTATTTCTAGAGGTGCTTGAAACTTCACCTTTCAACAGATATATCTTAAGTTTATTAAGAAGTCGTTTAATCCGCGAGGATCAATTTACTCTCAAGTTTAAGACTTCGTTACCATCATGTTTTTTCAGATCGTATATTTTACCTAATGCGACATTATTATGTACTTAATTTGAGAGTTATAAATTTATTGAGGAACTACGCATTTCCGTGAAGAATACTGCTTGCGCTTGCTTTACAAGTTTGAGATTAAGTAGGGTATATTTATCTAACACTGTTCTTCAGAAATACTAAAACTTAAGCGCTCATGACGATCTTCCGATTCTCTCATTGACAAATAATTCCAAACTGGCATTATATATTTACCATTATCATAAACCTTTCTTCATTCTGAGGACAAATGCATAAAACTGAGTGTGTGTATAGTTTATATACTAACACTCTTGAGGTGAATTCCGTCGTTAATAAGACACTCTGTAGTGCCTCTGGAACGCATTCGGCGCCTGGCTTTCAGGACGTTTCTCCTTCAAGAGTTATTGCCAGAGAATCGTCCTGCGATTCTTCATCTCCAGGCACCAATGGCGCCGCGAACTTTTCTACAGCTAATTACGATGGCTGCACAAACGTTGAGGGGACTGTTGATTATCTGAACAGGACTATTAAGATTTAATTTGTGGGTTGTGGAGAGATGTCGGGCGAACTCTCACATAAGGAAAGTCTATTGATAAGCCCTGTCAAGGAGTTTTAGGGTGGGATTTTTGGATTTTCGTTGTGGTCCGCTCTTGAAGGGGGCTACGACTCACTAACCCCCGTCGGGTATGGTCTTGAAACCGTTTGATCTGCGATCAGAAATTGCTCCTTCTTTGAACATGCTACCATTTTGATATGATTGTCTACTTGTACATATTCCCGTTAACAGATACCATTTACTGCTCTAGGTCCTATTAACCCTTGGTAGGTACAGCAAGGTGATATATTACGACCAGCGTTAAGATCCCATACTTTGAACCGTTATTTATGATTTAATCAAACATAGCGAAAATATTATTAAATCATCATGAAGACATTTTTTAGTCTAAATTTCAAAAATGTGTGACGTTTTATTAAGGTTAATGTGGTGTAAAGCTGTTAGAATTTAAAGGGTTACAACATCGCTTCCAGCATGAATCAAGCATGGAAAACAGGAAACTTGCAGTCTCAACGCATGTAATGAATTAGGGGCTAATTGGAGTCACCCCTTGCCGTCCCTCCCATCCCACGGGATAGTTTATACAACGGCTATAATTAACCACATCAAAGAAATAAACATCTACAGTAATATGTACAGTTAACACCTGTAATTAACAGGTAGATGGTGCCGAGCAGCGGTGGGGACCATAGCCGTATCACGTCCGTGCTGCACGTGCACCACGATCAAAGTTATCAACAGAGAAGTAACATGCACGTGCAAAACGTTCCCGTCAGTATCGGTTCCTGTCCGTCATTCAACCGTTACAAAATAGGGTGAAAATTATCAAACTCCGCTGATTTCATTAATGGAATAATAGCATCACAACTGCCTAACATCCCGTTAGCCGTCGCTTATATGGCTATTGTAGTTTTTAAAGTATCCACTAGCAAATAAAACGTTATGGAACGTATCTTCCGAATGGCCTTCTTGAAACGTTAATGTTTGCTCATTGCGCTTTAGGAACATTAACACATCAAAAGGCTCTGCACAGAGTTTAGTTACGATTGGTCTATAGTTGTAAGGCGTTTGCGTGTGAGGTTTAGCAAGGTTTTGTTTGAGACATCAGGAGAAAGCTGTTAAGTCCTTTAATATAATAAACCTGTCGCTAGCTCCAGAGCTGCTGACTAGGGTGGGTGTGATTGAGGGGTGGGTAGGAGTTAGGATGGGTAGGACTGGAAAGGGGTGGCAGGATTGGGACTGAGTGTGATTGAGGGGTGGGTTGGAGTTAAGGTGGGTAAGACTGGAAAGGGGTAGCAGGATTGAGACTGAGTGTGATTGAGGGGTGGGTATGGGTTAAGATGGGTAGCTTGAAAGGGGTGGCAGGATTGAGACTGAGTGTGATTGAGGGGTGGGTTGGAGTTAAGGTGGGTAAGACTGGAAAGGGGTGGCAGGATTGGGACTGAGTGTGATTGAGGGGTGGGTATGGGTTAGGATGGGTAGCTTGAAAGGGGTGGCAGGATTGAGACTGAGTGTGATTGAGGGGTGGGTTGGAGTTAAGGTGGGTAGGACTGGAAAGGGGTGGCAGGATTGGGACTGAGTGTGATTGAGGGGTGGGTTGGAGTTAAGGTGGGTAGGACTGGAAAGGGGTAGCAGGATTGAGACTGAGTGTGATTGAGGGGTGGGTATGGGTTAGGATGGGTAGCTTGAAAGGGGTGGCAGGATTGAGACTGAGTGTGATTGAGGGGTGGGTATGGGTTAGGATGGGTAAGACTGGAAAGGGGTGGCACGATTGGGACTGAGTGTGATTGAGGGGTGTTTTCGAAGAAAGTGTAGATTAATTGTTGTTTTCAGCGTCAGATGACAATATTGTTTCGTTGTGAGGGAGGGAGTATCTATGTGTTGGTGCCTTTGCTTTGGGGATGTGTCTCAGTGGAGACAGTGTAAGTACATTGCACCGACATGTACCAAGTTCAATTTATCGATACGGAAAGTTTCAATCGTTTGTCTTTTAATTTAACGTATCATTGTGGGTTGGTTACAACGTTGTACTGTCAATGCCTCAGTGCAACTTTTAACAGGTATAAAGCAAAATAAAGGTGTATGGATACAAAAGCCGTTTTTACCTATTGGTTAAACGTACTTACAACATATTTGCCATCGGTAGAATCATTGACAAATATCGAACTAAACAAGCATATGTTCGGATCCTCGTCGTTACCAAAACACAAGCTCGTGTTTCAATCAATATGTCCATTTCATATCAAGAATATTGTTATGAATGTAATTACTGATATTGAACACATTTGCGCCTAACAAAAAGTTTTAATTGTTTTGCCATGATCAGGTGATTAAAAGTGTTCCTATAAATCGCGGAATTGATGTTTTGTCACTCGTCTTACTGTTTGTGTTCACAAATGATTACCGGCCATTGACACCGTTGTCCTACTCCCGTGTCAATGAACGTGGATCGCGGCTTAGTGCATACCTGCGTATATTACACCATATATCCTTTACAGGTCCCGGGTATCTTAGTCTCAGTGGGCTGTGAGTGTAGAGCGATTGTATAAAGCTAGAGCATATAGTTCAGCTGATGTGATAAAATGTCCAGTCACCTTTTGACCTAAATTTTCATGTAAATCAGGGAATACATTCTTTGTAGATCATGTATGGTAGCTTATTCACGCCATGCATAGGGGCGGTGGGGTAGCCCAGTGGTTAAAGAGTTCGCTCGTCATGCCGAAGATCCGGGTTCGATGCCCCAAACAGGTATAAACATAACCTTATAAGCGTGATAACCGTTTTATCACATAATGTCATTTTGAAATTCTTTTCTCTCTCAGTGGCGCGTTGGGGGTAGTCTAGTGGTTAAAGTGTTGGCTTGTCACGCCGAAGACCCTGGGCCTAGATTTTCGAAGTTCTCTTAGCGCTAAGATAGTCGTATGTGCCATTCATTAACATTAACTTACGACTATCGTAGCGCTAAGAGAGCTTCGAAAATCTGGGCCCTGGTTCGATTCCCCACATGGGTACAATATGTGAAGCCCATTTCTGGTGTCCCCCGCCGTGGTATTGCTAAAAGAGGCGAAAACCCGTACTCACCCACTCACTCATTCTCAGAGTGTATAAAGTATATAAAATGGCAAGTTACCAACTGAACCCTGAGTAACGTAGCTGC